ACTGGGCCAGACACCTGTAGCAGACACACAATGCAGAGTAGAGGCTGGTGTTACCCTTGCTATCCACAACTTGGTAATGTCTTTCAGTAATGAGAATCCTTCCAAACTCAAGCATTACCAGTTCGGTATCATATTTCAGTAATTAAACTAAATAAGATCTCACTAAGTAATACAATATAGCAAATGGAAGACTTAATTCAGGGACAGAACTAAATTATTGGCAAATTAATATTAGCTGCTAGACAATTACAGGATAGTCTTTGGAAATTGCAGCAAGTGTTTCTCTTTGCTTGTGTTTTTTTTTCCTATCATTTTTGCTGAAGCATTTAAATCAGTATTTTACATTACATGCTTATATCTCCTATTATCCAGGGGTGCTTTTAAAACAAATATAGGAATTTATAATTTGAAATATTTGGCAAAGGCTCGTTTAAATTATTGATGCAGTTGCTTTTCTGCTTTCTGGGTTTTTGAGGTTTGTGTTTTGTTTTTAATAAACAATATCTCTGTGTAATAACCCTTGGCCTGTGGACAAGGCTATTGTAAGTTATCTCAGTGGGTGATCATAACTGTGTGCACCACCATTCCAGTATCCACCTGACAGATGAAAAAGCTAAGACCCTGAGAAAACAAGAGGCATATGCAAGGAGACGAGCAAAGTCTAACACCTAGATCCCAAGCCCCAAATTCAGATTTGTTTCCATTCTTCCTTTTGGGGAGATAAGGTTAGGAAGAGAAAATAAAAGGAGATGAAAAACGGTGGTTTTTAAGGTCTTCATGATTAACACTGTAGTTTACTTTTTAAAAGCAGGAATTCCTCATTGCATCTGCTCTGTTTTAAAGTGTTCAATGGGTTCCCTTTGCCTATTGCCAAGTCCAAATTTAGAAGGTATTTATCTCACCTCCTACAATTCCTCATATAAACCCAAAACTCCATCAAAACAAAACTGCTTGAAAATTTGCACAAATACTATATCTTTTTATACCTCTGTGGTTCTGCCTACAGTTTCTTCTCCACATATCCTTAACCCCCTTTCAATAACTATTATATTGTTACATCTATTATAGATTTAATTAATTTATCAAATGCCTACACGTTTGTTAGGCGTTGTTGGAAGTGCTTCATAAATATTAACTGTTAATCTCCATAATAATCCCAGAAGATAAGTAGTAGTATCCCATTTTACAGATGACAAACTGGCATATGAAAACTGAGGAATAAAGCCAGGATTCCAGAAGAAGATTCTGGTTTCAACTGGGCACTCTTACCCACTTTACTGTGTCACATATGCACTTGGAATTTCAAAATTGAAAAACATATCACAGCCTGCCAACACTGAAGTCTCAATGACACGCTATCAAAGGCCTCTGGGTTGTTAAGTTCATTGCTTTGTCAGTGTACCATCAACTGGAGCGCAGCTCGCATCTTTTCAGACTCAGAAACCTGATATTTTTCAGCAATCACACCAAGAATGGATCCTTGTCTGGGAGGTGGACTCACTATGACTTGGCCCATGAGATTAAAATTTCAAACTAAAATGTTAGTTTATTAACTTACAACTAAAAGTAGAACTGTCTATCACATAGACCGGGATACTCATGTCAGCATCACCGGCACACTCTGCCTCTCCCCAGTCAAGAAAAGCCGGTCGCTCTTGGCAAGTTGTTTGGTCAACATGGAATCACAAGGAGGGTAATTCCTGGGAGGAGTGGAACATTCATTGGCATCAGGTCAAATAGTGTGAGGCATCCACATAGTGATAGCAACAGCTTTGCCAATGGGACCTGGAGGACTTCAAGTTCACTGGTCCTTTCCCTGGAACATTGCTGGGCCGGGCACTGACAACCATGTATATGTCATTCGTCTCTTTTCCATGATTCTAATGCCTGGCCAGTCCTTTCTTTTCTTGGCCACATTTTATTGTTAATTCATATTACTATAGTCAATCTGGTTATGGTCAAGTGTTTAAGCCTAGGGCCTTTCTATCTCTTTAAGACAGTCTTTGTGTAATTGTATTTTCAGATGACAGTTTCTTTTTGATAACATTCTCAAGACCTAGCACAAAAGCTATCTAGCATTTATTTCACTGAATTATAATTGAGTGATTTTCTTAATAGCAAAAACCATATTTATACCCAGAAGTAAATGCATTGCCTAGCACATAATAAGAGTTCATTGGACATTTATTGAAGAAACAAGTGACTTAGGAGGCAGTAAACCATCATGGTTCTAAGTGTAAGCTCTGAAGCCAAATAGCCTGGTTTCAAATCTCAGCTCTATTACTTAATAGCTGTGTGATTTTGGCCAGTTAGTTAACCTCCCTGAGCTTCATTTTCACATTTGTAAAATGGATAAGATGATAGTACCCTGTCTCCCAGGGTTCCTGAGATTATTAAATAAATTAATACAATATATCAAATTTAGAAATATACCACAAGCTCCATAACTATTAGTTATTAGTATAATCATCCTCTCAGAATTTTGTGTTATATTTTTACTTGTATTTTTTAAAAGTGTGACTTATTTTTCATTGAATTTATTGGGGTGACATTGGTTAATAAAATTATATANTAAAAGTGTGACTTATTTTTCATTGAATTTATTGGGGTGACGTTGGTTAATAAAATTATATAAGTCAGGTGTACAATTCTATAATATGTCGTGTGTATATTGTATGGTGTGTTCACCACCACAAGTCAAGTCTCCTTCCATCACCATTTATACCCCTTTTCCCTCTTCTACCTCCCCCCACCCCCTTTTTCCCTCTGGAAATCGCCCTACTGTTGTCTGTGTCTGTGAAATCTTTTTTCTTTATCCCTTCACCGTTGTCACCCGGCCCCCCGACCCCCTCCTTCTGACAGATGTCAGTCTGTTCTCTATGAGTCTATTTCTATTTTGTGTGTTAGTTTATTTTGTTCATTAGATTCCACATATAAGTGAAATCATATGGTACTTGTCTTTCTCTGCCTGGCTTATTTTACTTAGTATAATACTCTCCATGTCCATCCATGCCGTTGCAAAAGGCAAGAGTTTCTTCTTTTTTATGGCCAAGTAGTATTCCACTGTGTAAATGTCCCACAGCTTTTTTATCCACTCCTCTACTGATGGACACTGGGCTGCTTCCACATCTTGACTATTGTAAGTAATGCTGCAATGAACATAGGGGTGCATATATTCTTTCAAATTAGTATTTCTGGTTTCTTCAAATATATTTCCAGAGGTGGAATCACTGGGTCATATGGCAGCTCCATTTTTAATTTTTTGAGGAACCTCCATACNGAATATATTTCCAGAGGTGGAATCACTGGGTCATATGGCAGCTCCATGTTTAATTTTTTGAGGAACCTCCATACTGCTTTCCACAGTGGCTGCCCCAGTCTGCATTCCCACCAACAGTGCACGAGGCTTCCCTTGTCTCCACATCCCTGCCAACACGTGTTTGTTGATTTATTAATGGAGCCATTCTGGCAGGTGTGAGGCAATATTTCATTCTGGTTTTAATTTGCATTTGTCTGATTAATGATGTTGAGCATTTGTTCATGTCTATTGGCCACCTGGGTGTCCTCTTTGGAGAAGTGTTTATTCAGGACCTTTACCCATTTTTTAATTGGATTTTTTTGGTGTTGAGTTGTATGAGTTCTTTATTAATTTTGGATAATAAGCCCTTATCAGATGTATCACTGGCAAATATGTTCTTCCATTCATTGGGTTGTCTTTTCATTTTGCTGATGGTTTCCTTTGCTGTGTAAAAACTTTTTCATTTGATGTAGTCCCATTTGTTTATTTTTTCTTTTGTTTTCCTTGCCCAAGAAGATATATCAGAAAAAATATTGCTATGAAAAGTTTCCCAGATTTTACTGCCTATGTTTTCTTCTAGGATTTTTATGGTTTCAAGTATAACATTTAAGTCAATGTGACTTATTTTTGAAAAGAGCAGGGTACTGCTGTTCTTGTGTCATCACTGAATGTTTAATCAAAAATTGATTGTTTTTGTTCACAAAAGTTCAGTAAAATGAAAACTCCCATGTATTGCTGGTGGGAGTATGTAATGGTACAAAGTTTACAGAATGTAATTTATCAAGAGCTTAAAAAAGTTCATTCCCTTTAGTCCAGTAATTCATCTAGAAATTTATCTATCCTAAAGACGTAGTCAGAAATTTGGATAAAGCATATGTATGGACATGGTTCATTACACTCTCATTTATCAAACCCCAAATTGGAAATTACTTAAGGAACAGAAGAATGATTATACAAATTGCATCATTTGATGGAATATTATGTAGCTCTCAAAATGTTGTCTTTAAAGTTGTCTAATAGTGTGGGAAGATAACTCCAAAAATGTATAAGTGGCAAAACACAAACACAAACTACAAAATTATATAAATGATGTGATTTTTTTCTTCCACTCTGGAGAGAAATTGATAAATCAAAATAATAGTGATTATCTTTAGATGAGGCAACTATGAGGGTTTTTTTTCTTTGAGGTGGTATTTCTTTTCTGAAACCTCTAAAACATGTATTTTATAAATAAAAATAACTTTAAGAATTACAACTTTTTATATCCATTTTGTAATTTTATAAGACACGTGAAATAGTAAGTGCAATTTTTATCATATTCACAGTGTAAGTTTTTTTTCTGTGAAATATCTCCGGCATTATACCAGAAATAATTAAGACAGGGATCATTTAATATTAATATTTTTCAGAAAACCTTGCATTAATATTTATTTGGTTAAATAAGAGCTAAGTATAAGTACTTATTTTGACAACTTTTGAAGCAAAATGAATGCTTAGTTTCAATCCTCACGTAGAAATCGACTTCCATGTACAACTTCTTTAGATCTGCTCAATTTAGTATTTGATAGTAACTCTTCTAAGAACATACTCAGAAGAAAAGAGAGGCTCTTGTGTGACTATAAAGAGAGAATTCTTTTTATAATAGTTCAAATATTGAGCCTTTCATAGTAATGAGGTATTTGTTTTTCTTTTTGTCACCTAGGAGCTGTGAGGGAAGAAATATTCGATATAGAACATGCAGTAACGTGGTAAGTATTGAGGTTATATGATTGCTATCATGGTTTTTTTAAGCACTGAATTTTTTAAGCAGTTTTATGTATCCTGAGCAGAAATCAATCAATTAGCACTTCACTGAGAGTGATTTGTGTCATATCACGTGGATTATGCAGCACTGAAAAATAAGTATTTTTAATGTCCCTCAAATTTGGCCATATTGAAACTGACTGGACTATTTCATAACCACGACTCTGTATTTCCNTTACAAATTTGGCCATATTGAAACTGACTAGACTATTTCATAACCAAGACTCTGTATTTCCTCTCTGCCTTCTGAGTCTTTATATCTAGGTTTCAAGGGAAACCACTTGGGGTGTCATGAAATAAGTATTAATCAAACTCAGATTTACAAATGCACTCATTCAACAAATGCAATTCAGTGTCAACTATGTGAGGCACTACACTAGTACAAGGATAAATAACATGTGACCACTGTCTTAAAACATATGTTGATCTAGTAAGAGATGTAGAGAGGGAAGACAGGTAAGAACATGGCAAATGCTGTAAGAAAGGGATGGAGTTCTTTGCAGATTAAAAACAAAGAGAAGTATGGAGGGCCTTGAAGGGAAGGGTGATTTGAGGTAGGCCTAAGAGGGCTAGGAGGGCTGGGACTTGCCCAGATTGCATGGGAGGCGGTGACACCCGGTCCAAGTGGAGGAGACATAATGGGCAACTTTGGAGGTAGGAATATCTAAGCTGTCTTCTGAACATTGATTTGAGTAGATTGTGCTTAGCAGTATGGAAAAGAAGAATTAAAAGATATTTTGAGGTTACACAATGAACAGATTGAATGTTACACCTCCAAGTTTATATTAGTTCAGTGAACAGTGGGAGGGGGCGTCACTAGAGGTTTTGAATCAAGAGTATGACATTATAGTTTCACTTTAGGGAGTTTAATTGTGTAGTGATATGAGGGATACCTTGGAACAGGAAATAGGTGGGAAGCAAGAAGTGATGAGAGTTTAAACAGGAAGAAACAGCTACAAGAGAGATTGAAATTGAGATCACTCCATGCAACTTAAGCAATTAAAATTAGAGTGATGGGCTGAAGTGGAAATAAAGAAAACAGAGGCATGTGCATATGTAGAGTTCTTGCACATGCTGAGCCCACTGGTAGAGAAGCTCTTTCCTCATGCTAGTCTCAGATCAAATGCCACCTCCTCAGACAGGTTTCCTGAACCATTTTATCTAATTTGGCTGTCCCACTGCTCAAACCTATCCCTCACAATAGTCTATGAATCACATTTTACTTTTCTTATAGCACCTACCTCTACCAAATTTATCTTATTTAATTACTCGTTTGTTTCCTGCTTTCCCAGTCTAAAATGTAAATGCCACAAGGATAGGAGCCTCGTTCATCTTGTCCTCTCCTGTGTCCCCAGCACCTAGAACGTATGACTTACATATCGCAAGCATACAGTGGATATTTGCCAAATGCAAAAAGAATACTCAGGCTTCTGGAAGAATGGGAAATGTCATTATCAAAAGTAAGAAAGTTGGGAGAAGAAAATTATAAATTCGATTTAGGGACACCATTGAGTTAGATGTGAAAGCTGGACTTGTACATGGTATGTCCCACTAGGCAATGGGAGTTGGATCTAAGGAAAGAGATGGAGCCTCAAACCATAGAAACACAAAGTAAGAAATACAGACTTTGAAGATTTGGTAGCAGTTTGTTTGGTAGAGGGCAGAGAATGATGAGAGAAAGGAACCTCAGAACTTTTGTGAATGTCTGTAGTCAGGTAGAAAGAGAACATAGTGCCAGGTAAGCCATCAAAGGCACCATGAGAAAAGTGAAGGAAGAAATCTAAGCCCTGACTGGTGTGGCGCAGTTTGTTGGAAGCCGTCCCATGCATCAAAAGGTTGCTGGTTCGATTCCCAGTTGGGGCACGTGCCTGGGTTTCAGCTGTATCTCCGGTAGGGGGCGTGCAGGAGGCAGCCAGTCAGTGTTCAGCTTTCACATGGATGTTTCTCTTTCTCCCTCTCCCTTCCCCTCTCTCTAAAAATCAATAAAATATATTTCTTAAACTATATCTTTATTGATTTCAGAGAGAAGAAAGGAGAGGGAGGGAGAGAGAGAGAGAGAGAGAGATAGAAACATCAATGATGAGAGAGCCATTGATCGAGCCTACAACCCGGGCATGTGCCCTGACCGGGAATCGAACCCCAGTCACCTGGATCCTAGGTCAACGCTCAACCGCTGAGCCACGCCCGGCCAGGCTCAATAAAATATTTTTTTTAAAAAAGAAGAAATAAGAGAATTCCTGAAGATGTTCAGTGGGATAAATGTTGCCAAGAGGTTGAAGTATGAAAAAGGCCAGTGGGGGAGTAGTTTCTATAGTGTATTAGGAACGAAATCAAAATTGCAGGAAATGGAGTCTATGGGCATAAGCTATTCTTATAAAGTGTTAACAGAAACATCTCATCATTTGCAGAATCACGAAAGGGTGGGTAGGTTATTGGTTTACCATGAGAGACTCTCGAGAGACGAGTTGATCTAGAGGGGGAGACTGACGATACGTGGAGGTAAGGGTATACTCGATGCCAGAAGGGACAGCGGATGAAAGAAGACGAGGAATCTTGATAGAGGAAAAGTACATGTATTTTAGAAAACAGACAAATTGAGAAAGAAAGGATGAGGGTATAGAAAGATTTCAGAAGAAAAGTTAAGACCGTGCATGAAGAACAGGCTCCAGCATCTCGGAGAAGTTTTCCGTCATCTGCTGAAAGTGAAGGAGGCGAGTTGGACTTGAGAACGTGAGCGTAAGGGCCTAGAATAGCCACTGAGGAGACTGAGTGGAAGCCAGCAAAGCAAAATGCAAGAATTTTGGAGTAGCAGGGGTTAGAGAGCTTGATCTGACAGAGATTATGGTCAGCAGGGCGTAGGACATAGTCTGGCGTTTCCACACTGAAGCAGTAATAGATAAAACGCACATTGGAAGTGACCTGGAATTCAGATGAGATGAGAGAGACTAAAAGGAATGAAAAGTATACACTTTTAAATGCTTGGCCAGGGTGAGTATAAGGAACTAGAAGGTGTATGATCATTGGAAATATGAGTAGTTGTTCAGTGGAAAATTTTGCCTATTTCATTTCTTTATTTCCATTTAGGACACTAGGTGCCAGATACCATAACTTATATCATTGCCTTTATCACACACACACACACACACACACAAACTCGCAAGCACACACAACCTTCACTCAACTGTGGACTGATTAAACAGACAAAATAGCTATAGGTTGTTGTTTTTTAATTTTTTAAAAATGGTATTGATCAAATGTAGTAATGTTATCAAAATCTTTTTTGATGGAAATATACTTTCGGGTTTAGTTTTCTTTAATCTCCCTTTTGTTGTAGTGATACCTTATATGTCAATTTTTAAAAAGACAAAACACCATGATGCTATTAAAGAATCTTCTTAGCTTATTCTTTTCTCTCTAGCTTTTAGAATAGTGGAAAGGGTCTAAACTGTCCTAAGTAGATGAATGCCTAAACCATCATGAGCAGATGTCTGCCCATCCTTTCCTTAAAGCTCTTCAGAAACAGCCCACAATTTCCTCGCTATCATTATGAGCATTTTCACAGACAGATGCAGGCTAAGACTCTGACCCAAAATGACTTAAAACCCATAGCATTGCACGAGCCAACTCTTTATAGCTTGTAGAATCAAACTGACACTGAGTTTTTTTGTGAGAACCTAGAGTATTCAAATAATTTGAAGCTTTTTTTTTTCTTTCTGGCTTTTGGCCATGATGGAAGCAACATTGCCAAAAAAACAAATAAAAAAATCTCATAAGAAAGGATCTTTTCATAATCACATTCCAATTTTTTTTCAAAATAAGAAATTCAGAAACATTCAGTTAAATTGCTCTCTTTTCAGTTACTTGTTTTGGAAAAACTTGAGGGTCTCTTACTGGCTAAACCTCCAGGGCACTGCTTAATCCCTGGACAGCTTCCTGGGGCTCTTCTGAACCAAGTCTCTCCCAAAGATTCACACTTTTTTATTCTTTGTAGAGTTGCTACATATGACATTTCTTTGGGGTCTTGTTCCCCAAGGCCAAGGAGTAGAAAACATCTCCTCAGTTTCCCAATTTTTCTGGCTTGCCTGAAAAATTAGTTCATAAATTTTAAGGTTTTATTGTTAATTGCTCTACAGAGTGCATCAATATCAATAAGAGAGTTAAAGTTCCCATAATGTTTGCTTAGTTCTCATAGCCAGGATACCTTCTTAAACTATTTCTAGCTGGTCCAAGTAGACTATCTTCATCCTTAAAGACATAGTTCATCTAACCCTTCCCTATTTACACTCCCTGCATTTTTTCCCTCAGAAGGTTGCAAGGCTCTCTCTTTCTGGAAGGAAAGACTAAGGATACTGTTATGAGAAACAGTAGGTGTGAACTGGCAAGCAATCAAGTGAGTCATTTAGGGCTCAGAGATCTTCCCTGGGGCCCCTCAGAAAGGTCTCCTTAGGTCACGTCATCATGTTTATTCAAATTAAATCTCTAATCTGAACCCCTTGATCTTAATTAGGCATTTTGAATTGACTTCTGAAGTGTTTAGACTAATGCTGTTACTCATAAACTGTTGTGTGTGATTTATTTGTCACTATCCTTAATCTTAACAAGATTTGAGATTTAGGAGACAATGACCACAATTAGCAACGTAATAGGCCAAGGTGCCTGTGGTAGCTGATGACGCTCTCAAGTTCTTTATTAAGATTTTATTGCTCCACTGCAAAACTTTACTGTTCTAAAAAATAACAACTGTAAGATTAAAGTTGGGAAGCTGCATTTCTATATCTCTTCTAGAACTCCTAGGGAGGTGAGTGGGCAAGGGATTTCTGTCATCCAAGGAATGGCTGAAACAACTAAAAATGTTTTTAGCACCTGAAGACAAAACATCCTCCATTCAACTCCAGAAATAATTGAGCACAAGAATTGTTCTCGGTACCGGGATGCATTGGTGAGG